AGAGCAGGTTTAGGCCCTCCCTGGTGGCGCAAGGGGTTAAGAGGCAACCTATGAAGCTATCTGCAGCCACTGCAGCATGAGTTCGATCCCAGGCCAGGGAGCTACCCACATGGCACAGCAGACCTCGCTCCCCTCAGCAGCTCCCCTCAGCAGTGTATTTCAGCCAATCTGCTTGTTCTGTTCCCTACTCTGTCTCTGGTGAGACCTCTCATCTCCCACACCTCTGGCCTGTACCCCAGTTCTTGTATACATAAATAAATAAATCTTCGGGCCTCCCCTGGTGGCGCAGCGGTTGAGCGCTGGGTTGCAAGGCTGCCCGCAGCCTCTGCAGCGCCAGTTCGCTCTCCAGCCACCGGCAAGGGTCCCACCAAAAATAAATAAATAAATAAATAAATCTTCAAAAAAAAAAAAAAATGAAGAGCACATTTATTAGGGAATGGGACAAAAGAGTAAAGTACACTTGCATAGACACAGGCGGGCAGGAAGAGCTGTCCCAAAAGGGAGAGGTTTGCTGAGAGAGCCCTGCATGGTCGCAGGCAGGTCACCTTGAGGAGAGCTGCCTCCACTGAGGGAGGTCAGTAAAGAGAAGCCTCGGCATGTAGCAGGTCACGGGCAAGCAGGAAGGCTGCTGCCTGGTAGAGGGACAAAGAGCTGATGAAAAGGAGCATATGCATATCTTTTCATTCTTTTGTATGTGGTTGTCCAGTTTTACCACAATTTGTATGGAACCACAAAAGACCCCAAATAGCCAAAGCAATGCAGAGCACAGATTTAATACAAAGAATGTATAACTCAGTGATAGCCAGATGGAAGAGATGCACAGGGCAAGGTATGGGGAAAGACCTGGCGCTTCCAACCTCTGTCCAAGGGCACCATTCTCCACAAAACTTTGTATGTTCACCAACCCAGAAGCTCCTAGACCAGAGTCCTCTCACTCGACCACTCTCCCACCCAACTTTCTCTCTGTTTCTATCAGGCAGGAAGTTCTACGACTGAGCCAGACCCCAGCAAACCTGTCGAGAGCAAGAGCAGTGAGTAGTCCTGTGTCCTTTGATGTCCACACACCCACACTGACCAAATGTTTTCCATCGGGCATCCAGTCCAGACAAAGCTGAGACCTGTGGCTTTCAAACCAAAATCAGTGCTCGCCTGTATAATGTTGAAGCAGATCCTGGAGGTCAACCCTCCAGTATTGACAGCTAAGGAATCTAAAGGGATAGAGCAAATCTTGAAAGTTCAAATTTTCACTACTTTCCAACTATTCGCTCCAGAAATCTGAAAAATGTCCACAACAAACCAAACCTATTTATTAAAAAAATAAAAAGAAGTCTAACTGCCTTAACTTCAGGATTATATGTTTCCTGACAAAACTGTTCTTATAAATGCTCTCAAAGTTCTATTATCATATAATTATAATTTCTACACAGCTATTTATACGTGTGTGTTTGGAAGCCAAAAATTGAAGCTTCAATTACTTCTATACCTACCACTAAAACAAGCAGAAACAGGACAACTTTCCATAAAGAACTCATTTTAAAGATTCTGGAATCCTTTTATTTGATGTCTTCTCACAGCTCCTATCAAGGTAAGAGGAGTAGGGCAAAATGCAGGCTTAACATATATAGTCATCCCCAGACTTTTTCACTATATAGAGGGGGAAATTAATAAAAGAAGAAAAAAAAATACCACACAGCATTTTCTTTTCTCACCATAATTTTTCAATTTTCTTTAGAGAAATGCCAGCCAATAACTAATTTGAACCATATCCTTTGTTATCCCAAAGGGAAGAAGTACACAATGGCTTTAAAAAGCAAATGTTAATGAGAACTTAGTTAAAAAAAAAAAAAAAAAAAAAAAAAAAAAAAAAGGTAAGTGGAACTTTGGTTTCCCTTTAGCATAAAACAAAATTCTCTTCTTTAAGGCTGTTTGTATGGGTGGTGTAACAACATGGACAGAGTCCATTAACAAGAAAGTAAGTGTCCAGCCAGTGAGCCCACTTCAGTCCACCCCTTGAACTAGGGGTGTCCTGGGTGTTTCACTGTTCTGCTCATGAATTGATATCACAAGCTTATAGACTTCTAAGCACCTCAATTTCAAACACAAGAGACAAAAATGCAAAGTTACAGAAAAGGAATTTGAGCTACATCTTCTTGGTTTGGAGGAGGAAAATAATTCCTTTCAGACTAAGTACAGAGCTTTTACAATTTCCAAGAGTGTGTTTTCCATAAGAAACACAGCTGGGGCCTCCCTGGTAGCGCAAGAAGTTAAGCACCGCCCTATGAAGGGGTCCACAGCCTCTACAGCTCAAGTTCGATCCCCTGCCCGCCCGCCAGGGAGCAAGCCACATAGCAAGCCACATAGTGCAGCAGACCTCTCCTGGCTAGCCCGCTGCTCCCCTCAACAGTGTGCTTCAGTCAATCTGCCTGTTCTGTTCCCAGCTCTGTCTCTGATGAATCCTCTCACCCCCCAACCCCCCTGCATCTTTGACCTGTGTCTCAGCTCTTGTATGCATAAATAATCTTTTTTTTTTTAAAGAAGCACAGCTGGTGTCTTTTTTACCTAGTATAGTACCACAAGTAAATGTTTCTAGGATCAGTTTTTTTTTAAGATTTATTTTATTTATTTATGCATATAAGAGGTGGGGTGTAGGCCAGAGGTATGGAGGGGTGAGAGAGGATTCACTAGAGACAGATTGGGGAGCAGAACAGGCAGATCTACTGAGATACGCTGCTGAGAGAGCAGCAGAGAGACAGGAGAGGTCTGCTGTGCCATGTGGGTAGCTCCCTGGCCGGGGATCAAACTCAGGCCAGGCCATGGCGGTGATAGCTTGATGGTGCTGAGACTTTAACCCCTGCACCACCAGGGAGGCCCCTAGGATCAGATCTTGAGTTGCCTATTCATCAACATCTAGGAGTAGAAACCACCAGCTTGAAAACTGAACTTGTTTTAAAGAACAAAGTGAACTATGTGATATGACTTCGAAACATTGAGCAAAAAACAAATATTTAAGATGCTATCATATCATATTGGGCATGTGCAGCATTTTGAACTGTATTTTCAAATGAGTATCTGAGCTGTGTGACGCAGGCTTTCATCCTGAAGGAATTAGCAGGTGCAGGCTAGGGCCACAGAACACCTTTGTTCATGCAAAGGGACTGGTCAGGGCACAGAGAACAGGCATGACCTATATCAGATCAAGCCATCTCTTTTTTTGAGGAAAAGAATTAAGTATTTGCAAAACATCTCATTTTGCTCCACATTTTTACTATCAGCAAATTAATTTACCTTACTGTGAAAAACACAACAGGCTCTCAGCCTATACCATTTTACCATCATTACAAATCTTTTTAAAAGCTAGAAAACGTGTATTACCCAATAAGGACAGTAATTTACACAGACTTTGGTGTATACAATAAAAACTTCCCACAACAATGAAAATGTTTTTGGATAAATCACTTTCTGACAGTATTCTTCCCACCAAGGAAAACAAAGGATTCCCATGTTTTAAAAGCAAAAAAGGATTGGCCTTTCTTATTCATGCACTATCAAGCATATACATCAAATATGGGCAAAATCACCTAAAAGGTGGTTAAAATTCTAAGTTTTGCCTCTTAATGGCTAGTGAGCTCATGTTTTTCCATGTCAAACTTACAAACTCTATTTGTTACGCTGTATTTCATACTTGAAATCCCAAGTCTGCACCTTAGACTGCTAGGGGATGGATGATTTACTTGAGACATCTGGGGTCACAGTATAAGCCTTTTGCTCTCACAAAATCTAAAGCATGCTTCTCAACAAGATTCTGTACACATAAAAGAAACACATGGTATGTCTTCACCATCCTCCCTGGAGGAGCCTAAACATCTCCAGAAGAGCCCTTCTCCCTTCCAATCCATAAACCGCGATTCTCCTCAGAAAGAGAAGGGGCTGGATTCACAAGCTGCATCAGGCACACTAAGCAGGAGAGTTCCAAAACTTTTTCTGTTTCAACTCATGACAAAATTGCCTGAGTTTTATTAAAACAATAGACACAGGCAAAAACCCAGACCACTCCCTAGGTGGGTCATTTCAGCGACAAGCTAGAAGCAATAAGTTGGCATTGAAATATCAGTTTCCCTTAAGAGTCCTCATTCTGGTCAATCTGCGCCTTTGGGGTCAGTTCAGCATTAAACTCGAAGCATGCGCAGGCAACGGTGAGGTGACCCACCAGCAACCAAGATGTGCAAGGACGGGGCTGTTCCTGTGCCTGGGCGGCATCTGGGGAGGACAGCTGGACAGCAAGACAATGAAACGCTCCCCGGTGGCCACTAATTCAGCAAGGGAGGGGGAGAGGCGGCGGGAAGAAGGGGAGACGAGCGAGCGCTCCTCACGCCCAAAGCTCCTGTCAGTGACCGCCTCCCCCGGGCGCGGGGCGCGGGGCGCGCGGACCACGGCCTCGGCCTCGGGGTCCGCGGCCACACGGAAGGGAGCCCCCAGAACGCTGATTTTTCCTCCAAAGAAAGGAAACTTCCTGGCGTGGGCATTGTGGGTAGGGGGCCAGCGCCTCCCCCACCCACCACAGGTATCCGCGCGGAGTCCCGCGGCTGAAGGGAGGAAGTGGCCCCTCCCTGCGCCTCAGGAAGGGGTGGGGGTCACGGAATGGGGACCCCGAAGAGCAGCCACCCCGTAAGAGAGGCTCCCCAAGATGTGGGCACTGGGCTCTCGACTCCTCCGGCCACGAGCCTGGTCCCGGGGCGCCGGGGTGTCAAACTTAGCCCCGCCAGCGCGGCCTGGCAGCGCCCCTGGGGAGTGGTCTCGAGGCCCAGCCCGGAGGGGTCCTGGGCGGGCGGGCGGGCGGGGGCGGGGGACAGTGAGGGGCAGGAAGGGGAGCGCCCGCAGAGACCGAGGCGGGGGCCGAGGAGGCCGCGGGAGCGCGGGCGGGCGGCGCTGAGGACCGGCTCCCGGGAGCGCGCGGGCTGCTCGGCCAAGTGGGGGGCGCCGACGAGGCCCTCGCCGCTCACCTTCCTGTGCTTCTCCTTGTAGGGCAGCGCCAGCCACGGCATGTCCCGCACGAAGTCCTGCCACTGCCGCTGGTCCTGGTCCGAGGACACGAAGACGATCTCCAGGCGGCGCCGCGGGTCGGGCTCGGCGGCCGCCCCGGCCCCCGGCCCCGGCCCGGCCCCGGCCCCCGGCCCCGCCGCCGCGTCCCCCAGCAGGCGGCCGTAGAAGGCGGCCAGGCTGGCGCTGAGCTGCGCGCAGGGGGCGCTCAGGCTGCAGCCGAAGTAGAGCCCGAGCAGCGAGATGCCGCGGGCGCTCAGCGAGTGCACGTCCACCTCCTCGCCGCCGCCCGTCACCAGCTTCTCGCCCAGCAGCTCCTCCAGGAAGCCCGACATCCTGGCCCGCCGCAGCCCGGGCACGCGGGTGGGCAGGCGTTGGCGACCCGGCTCCTGGGTCCCCGCGGCGGGCGGAGGCGGCAGCGGCGGCGGCGGCGAGCGCGGGTGAGCGAGAGCCCCGCCCCGGCCGCCCTCGCCACGCCCCGGCCGCCCTCGCCACGCCCCCGGCCGCCCTCGCCCGCCCCCGGCCCTCGCCACGCCCCTCGCCGGCCGTCCCGGGCCGCGCTGGCCGCTGCCCTGCTGGCCGCTGCCGCCCGCGCCGGGGACGCGGGCTTCCGCCGCGTGGCTGCGGCGCTCGGGGAACGGCGTGGCGAGGAGCCCGCCGCAAACGCTCCTCTCTGACGGGAAAGCCCGGGCCTCAGGGGAGAAAGGAGAAGGGCCCTGGGGCCCGCCTTTCCGAAGAGAGCGCGCTCCCCGGGCTGGACTGGGCTCACCCCGCCCTCCATTTCCTCTCCGCTCTCGAGTTCTGTTAAATCCTCTCCAGACTTCTCCAGAGATGCCCACACGTCGCCCGCACGCGTTCTCTTACCCTTTCGTGTCCCTCCCCTGTCTCTCTTTCACGCTGTGCAAGCCCTTAGGCCATTTCATACCGGACTCACCTCTCCTAACGCTTATGGGAGTTCACGGTCTCCACGCAGCTATCACTGTCTCAGGGCAGGTCTTGCTGGACCCTTTTTTTCCTGTTCTGTGTTCACTACTGTGAAAGGACTGGAGGGCGCCACCTCCTATATTTCCTCTAGCTCAATCTGTTACTATGCACTTTAAAAAAAATATTTATTTTGGGCCTCCCCTGGTGGTGCAGCGGTTGAGGGCTGGGCTGCGAAGCTGCCTGCAGCCTCTGCAACACCGGTTCGATCCCCGGCCGCCGGCGAGGGTCCCGCATGGCGCGCAGACCTCTCCTGCCGCCCGCTGCTCCCCTCAGCAGTGTACTTCTGTCCTTCTGCCTGCTCTGCTCCCCGCTCTGGCTCTGGTGAATTCTCTCACTCTCCCGCACTTCTGACTGTACCCAGTGCTTGTATAAATAAATAAATAAATATTTAAAAAAAAATATTTATTTAGGCATACAAGAGCTGGGGTACAGGCCAGAGGGGTGGGGGGTGAGAGGATTCACCAGAGACAGAGTGGGGAACAGAACAGGCGGACTGACTGAAATACACTGCTGAGGGGAGCAGTGGGCGAGTCAGGAGAGATCTGCTGCACCATGTGGGATAGCTCCCAGCCAGGCGGGATGGAACTCAGGATGCAGTGGCTGTGGATAGCTTCATAGTGCTGAGACTTAACCCCTTGCATCACCAGGGTGGCCCTTACTATGCATTCTTGAGGGAATCCATACATACTGACATGTTAGGTCACAGGTCATGCTGTGGGAATTCAGTCCACTGCACACAGGGCTATTTCCACTAGCGAGTGGTTTCTCTAGCATCCATCAAAGGTGTGGAGATGGCTGCAGAGAGAATCTGGTGGGTTGCGAATTTGGGGACATAGTGAAAATATTATTAGTGGCAACAGATGCCGCAGAATCTCTAAATCAGTGCTGGCTGCTCTCCTGAATCGTTTCATAGCTTATAAAAGTCTTCAGAAAGTTAAAAATTCTAGGGATTTTTTTTCTTTTTCTTTTTATTTTTGCCAGCAAGCAAGATGTTATCCTATGCTTGGAGAAAACCTGGATTAAAGAGGAGGTTTGTGGCCACACACAAACACACACAATGTGTGCCATGCTTACCCGCAATAGTGGGCCTAACTTGTATGGCAGCTCAGCTATCACCAACCAAGTGGTAGCAAAAGTCACCCCTCTTACCGCCCTCCACCCGCCATTTGGAAGCTATTTTTTGGATATCTAGCGCCATCTAATGGAAAGATTGAGAAAGAAAATAAGATCTTTCCAGAGCCCAATATATGAAAAGAGATGGCAGCCAAGCAGAATATTTTTGTTATTTTATGGCGGCTTTCCACACACACAAATCACAGCACACTTTACACGAGTTCGTTTAAGCCTCAGACTATAGCCGCAAGTTTTTGGCACAAACAAAAAATTTCATGCCTAAGGTTCTCAATTTCCCTAGGCTAGAACAAAGAATTGTACTAGTTTTCAGCTCAGTGAAATACTACATAAAACAGGTGAAATTGGCTAAGGTGGAAGCCAGGGGTGGATTGGCAATCTTTAAGAATTATATTCACTTTCTTGGTTTCCCCCTAATATTGCTGCTCATTTCACAAGAGGGATCTTTGGATTGAGGACTGCCTTTAAGCTGGCAGGAACCCTGTAACAAAGGCAAATTCCAAGCTAAATCTTAGTGTCATGCCAAACTTCTGTGCGACTTCAGGGCGAGACCATTATTATAAAACACAAGTATCACTTTTAGTGAAAACATCTTAAAGTTATTAATATAAAAGACATTAGGTGTTTTTAAACATTCTGAAAATGGGTTAAAATTCTTTATCTCCTTATCCAAATCACACTTGAAATTCCTATAGATGGGTAATATTAGGCACCATGAAAGCATGTGAGACAAATAGTGTTACACTCTGACATTTTCAAATGAACACCGAAGAAATGGAAAAGGGCAATAAGCATTTACATCCTATGGGAGCCAAAGGATGAAGTATCAATATTTGGTGTGAAGATAGCTGCAGAGAGAATTTGGGGAAGCATTTTGGGGAAATAGTGAGGTCGTTATTAGAGTACTTAACTTTGGTATACTAGGTACACGTCTGATATAAAGAGGTGGTTTGTTCAAGCATTTTACTTTTATTATTTTACAGGAAAGCACTTTCCACTGGAGTGTGTCCAAACCAGCATCTGGCACCTGGGAAAGTGAGAGTTCGAACATACTGCACATGAAATATAAATAAAATTCAGAGAATTGTTGGTACAGCAGGGCTTGGTTAGAAGCCAAATATCGCAGCTGCCTTCTAAAGGGGTGTGGAAAGAGGGGATTTGCAATGGAAATGATTCCAAAATCATAATTCTAGTGGGTGTTTGTTACAAGAAGAAACCAAGGAGACTCATTTGAGTTCCTGTAAAGAATAGCCAACATCCCTTTGGCTTGCAAAAAGCACTTTCTTTGCTTATGCAGTTCAAGAGACCCACTTAGAGGAAATGTACCTACTGGTATTTAGTTATGTTACATGAATTGACTGGATATTCTGAAAATTATTGTTTTAAAATATGTACTAAGGAGTTACAATACGTCTGACATTGTACAGAACTACACATTACAGACTTTTTCTTTTGGGAAATTGCATTCTAAGGCACATGATGTCACACAAAACATGCACAGAACAATTATTTGTCTGTCACATTTAAGATTCATAAATCACATTCATTGGTCTTCAGATATAATAGGGTACATGCACAAAAATGTATGTGTACAAATATTTATTGATACACTGGTGAAATTAGAAAAAGACTAGCACATTGGAAGGAGCCCAATTGTGTGTCAACGAGGGTGATTAAATTATGACACATTCACTACTTGTAAGACATCAGTGCCCTATTATCCATGATTTTCCTTTCTGTGGTTTTAATTATCTGCAGTCAACCAATGTTTGAACATATTAGACAATAAGATATTCTGAGAGAAAGAAACCAACAGTTCATGATGGACAGCTCAGGTGTAATAGTCTTCGGTGGCCCATGGTTAAGCATTCAGTCTCTATCAATACCTTATAGCAGGGGCCTCCTCAGTGGCCTAGGAGTTAAGTCTCAGTGCTATCACCTCAACGGCCTGAGTTCGATCCCTGGCCAGGGAGCTGACCCACATGACGCAGCAGACCTCTCCTGTCTGCCCCTGTTCCCCTCAGCAGTGTATTTCAGTCAGTCTGCCTGTTCTGTTCCCCACGCTGTCTCTGGTGAATCCTCTCACCCCCTGCACCTCTGGCCTACACCCCAGCTCTTGTATGCATAAATAAATAAATCTTTAAAAAATAAAAAGCTAGGGCCTCCCCGGTGGCGCAGCGGTTGAGCGCTGGGTTGCGAAGCTGCCCGCAGCCTCTGCAGCACCGGTTCGATTCCCGGCTGCTCCCCGGCCACCGGAGGAGGGTCCCACATGGCGCGCAGACCTCTCCTGCCGCCCGCTGCTCCCCTCAGCAGTGTACTTCAGTCCTTCTGCCTGCTCTGCTCCCCGCTCTGGCTCTGGTGAATTCTCTCACTCTCCCGTGCTTCTGACTGTACCCAGTGCTTGTATAAATAAATAAATTAATTAATTAAAAAAAAAACAAAATAAATCTTAAAAAAAAAAAAGATTTAAAAAAATAAAAATAAAAAAATAAAATAAAAAATAAAAAGCTAATCTGTGACAGCTGCACTGGTAAGAGAAGTTGCATGACAGAGAGGTAAGTGAAGCAAAATTTGGAGGTGAGATCAGACAAGAATCAAGATGAAGGAAGGGAAAGAGCATATTGTCCTCACTTTTTTGTTTTTTGTTTTTTAAAGAGGGGGAGATATTTTATTTTATTTATTGATTGATTAAGATTTATTTATTTATACAAGCACTGGGGTACAGGCCAGAGGTGCCGGAGGGTGAGAGAATTCACCAGGGACAGAGCAGGGAGCAGAATAGGCAGAAGGACGCAAGTACACTGCTGAGGGGAGCAGTGGGCGAGACAGGAGAGGTCTGCCTGGCCATATGGGAATCTCCCTGGCTGGCCAGGAATAGAACCGGCGCTGCAGAGGTTGGGGACAGCTCCACAGCACTGCACTCAACCCGCTGTGCCACCGGGGAGGCCCCGTCCTCACTGTTTATAGCAGAAGTGTGATGCTTATCTTTCTGACACTAACTTAATGTATAACTTTGAGGAGTCGCATTATTGTTCTTTTCATTGCTCATTGCCTCCCTCAGCTGAGCAGGAGTCCAGTGACAGGTGACTCAGCTTGGCTAAGTGAAGAAATCATAACAACTGCAGAACTCCACCTGTCTGCCTGAACAATGGCCCCAGGAAAGCTGCACTCCCTCCAAGCTGCTCCTAGAAGTTTATTCTCAACCCAGCAGACGTCTAGGCCTCTGTTGTTCAGCTCTTAGAGTAATATCAGTGCATGCAGAGCCCAGGGTCTGGGGAGGTT